GGGCTTTACCGGCTTTCTCCGGGCACCTCAGCTGCCTTGGGTAGGCTCAGGCCTTGCACCTCTGCTTTCTCCTCCTCTTCAGTTGGCAAGAGAAGTCTGAGTGCGAGTGGCACCTCCGGCCTGAGGACCCTTCCAAGATCTCTTGCCTGTCCTGTGGCCACTAAGTTCTGAGGGTCTTCCCTAAGGGTGTGACGAGGCCCCGCAGGCCTCCAGCCACCGTGCACAAGAGGCTCGGTGCCTTCCACACCTCTGGCCTGGCTTCCTATAGGGCCTGGCCAATTGTTCCCCCTAAGTTGTTGGGTTCAAGTCGGTGTCACAAGCCCATACTGACATTTGGCTTCTAGGGAGGGCCAGTTCTCACTGTGCTCTCGCCCCAGTCACGACAGCAGTCACCACTGGCCAGAAGACAGATGGAGAAGCTCAGATGCCTCAGCTCTGTTGCTGAGAAGCCAGGTCAGGTGCACAACCCCCCCAGCGCAATGGCTTTCGGGCCTTCCTGCTCATTGACAGCTTCGCCACAGAGGGCTACAGTTTGCTCCATGGGCAGGGCTTCGAGCTCAGCTCCTCACTGAAGCTAGACAGAAGCTGCCAAGGGTTAAACGAATCAGGGCGGTTCCCCCACAGGAAGTTGCTGGTTTATGCTATGGAGGCTGGACTGGATTTAGAAGGCCCCTTCTCAGCCAGGCGTGGCATCTGCCTATAATCCTAGTTACTCAAAAAGCTGTGCTGGGGAATGTAGCTCAGTGGTTCAGTGCCTTCCTGGCAAGCTTGAGGCCCTGAGTTCAATTCCTGGCACACACACAAAAAAACAAAAAACACAAAAGAAGCTGAGGCAGGAGGATCGCTGTGAGTCTGAGGCCTGCCTGGGCTACAGAGCCTGAACTATACAGCAAGACCTGTCTCAAAAGATGAAAAAAAAAAAAGTGGGGGCGCTTATCTGTGAGCCTTAAGAGTAGAACATGGGGAAGTGAGGGTGGAGGACACGGTTTAGCCCTGGACTTGCTTGTTGCTCACACTTTACTCGGAGGCCCCAGACTGACCACGCTCTGACCTCGTCCCTTGGGATGCCTTTGCCAGGCTGTGCCTCTGCCTGCACGCCTGTCCCCACACTGCTCCTCCAGGCAGAATCCATTCTCTCTCTTCTTTATACCTATGTAAATGCTATCCCTCGAAGACACCTTCCTCCCCCCCCCACCCAGTATGTAAGTGCACGTTTTCTATGATCTGAAATGGTCCTTTTCTCTCTGCTTAACTGTTCCTTTCCATCTAGCCGTCAGAATGGTAGTTTCCACAGGGGCAGCGTCTCCCAGGACTTAGCACTCAGCTAGCACAAGCAGCGGCCTCTGAACCCTGTCTCTGAAGAAGAATGTTTGGGCCTGGTGGGAGAGCCACACCTAGCGTGCAGGAGCCCCTGGGTTCGCTCCCCAGCACTGCTAAAATAACCAAATTGAACCTTCTCTTCTGCTGCTTCTGAACAGGAGGCCTCTCCACTCCAGCCTGCTTCCCCTCTGTCCAGACCCACCCCCAGACAGACCACCCCTGGGCCTCCCTGCGCGCTCCTCTCCCACCCAGGCCTGAAATGGCTTCTCACTTCCCCACCCTAAAGTCTGGTCCTCCTGTGTCTTTTATTCTCCCAGATCCCTTAGATACCAGACCTTCTAGATCCCCGCTATCTCTCCTTTCTTTTCTCACTTAGGTTCCTTAATGTCACTGACTTCTGGTGACTAATGGGGCTGCCTTCTCCTCCTCCTGTTAATCCTTCTGTAACATACAATCCTGACTCCCTTTTCCTGAGTTAGACACCTACAGCAAGATCTATGATAAGGTTGTCTCTCCCGACCACCTGAACTGGGGTGCTTCTCTAAAGGAAGTTGCTGCCTGGAGAACAGTTATGAAACAGAAGGGAGAGAAAAAAAGAAACAGAAAGGTGTTGGGCATGCAAAAGCTACAAACTATACAGATTTATGGGGTCCACGATGTTCAGCAAGGACTTGAAGCTATCTTAGATTGGTTTGCACTTTAGAATCACCAAGGAACTGTTTACCCAGGCATGGGGAGGAAAATGTTCTCTTGGAGTCTGGGTAGCTCCCCAGAAAGCATGAGGAGCCTAGGCTGAGATGCCTGTTCAGTGCTGGCACTCAAAAATTCGGGAAGAGGATAGGTGTGGTGGTGCACACCTGTAATCCCAGCACTCAGGAGGTTGAGGCAGGAGGATCTTTGTGAGGTCAAGACCAACCTGAGCTACAAAGTGAACTCAAGGCCTGCATAGTGAGACCCTGTCTCAAAAAGACCAAAAAAAAAAAAAAAAATTCTGGAAGGCTGGGCATGATGATGGTGCACTCAGGGAGGCTGAGGCAGGAGGCTGTGAGTTCCAGACCAGCCTGGGCTACATAGTGAGACCCTTTCTCAAAGAAATTTTTTTCTGGGGGGCAAGATTGTGATTTGGTTGGTGTAAAGCCCTCCTTTTCCAGAGCACTACAGGTGATTCTGCTGTATAGTCAAAGTTGAAAGATTCTGGTGTAGGCAGGATGTTCCACTGTATCAAGGGTTCCAGGTCAGCTCTCGGGGACAATGTCCTCTATGTTAGGACTGGAATGTTTCTCCCTCTCTGCACACAACTTTTCAGAAAAGGATCATTGGGGTTTCCTTGGAGGCCGAGGGTAAGTGGGTGAACTGTGGGTGATGTTGTGGGTCCAAATCCCCTGAAGATAACAAGAGCTACTGTTTATGGAATGCCAGCTGCGAGGCCAGCGCTGTGCTTTGGGCTTCACAGATGGCCTCCGTGTGGACTTGTCTTCACAGTGCTTCCCTGCGAACACCATTAACTTAGTCCCGTTTTACAGCTGAAGAAAATGGGATACAAAAAGTTTGGCCAGGTGCCCCACCAGAGAGCAGCAACACGGACACCTGGACACTGGGACGGCGCTCGCCCAACCGGCATCCTGGCCTGCAGCGGGAGGCACCACGGAGCCCGTTACTCAGCAGCTCATAGACTGGGAGCGGCCCCTCACCTTGCCGAGGCTCTCAAGGCTGGAGATACAAAGCAGTGCTGGTTCATTACCAGCTTCCTTAGGTGATTTTTATAGGAAAATGGGGAAAGGGGGGACAGGGTCAAGGGAGTTAGATGCAGAGCGATGACACCCAAGAGACACCCCCCGCGGGGGGGGGGCTGTTTGAACTCCCTGAAAATCTGAGCTATCCTCTTTCCCTTCGGGGTTCTCAGCACCTTCCTCCCATACACGCAAATTAAAAATAAAATTGTATGTTTTTAAATTTTGTTTTTAAATCAAGAAAAACAACACTTCTCCTGGATTCATAGCTACAGCAGCAGCCTTCCCTTGCCGGAATCCCTGCTCCCTTTGGGGTACGCCTTTGACTACGAGGTGGGGGCGGGGCGGGCTTCCCTGCTCTCCAGCTCGCGAGAGACCTGCGGAAGTCGGTTCCCGCAGCCCCCCTCCGCCCCCACCCTTGGCCTGGCTCGGGGAGGGAGGTGTTGTCCCCGAGTCCGGGAGCCCAGGCAGAGGCGGCTCCCTGGGGACTGCAGGGAGAGCCCAGGCTGCGCGCCTGCTCAGTTCGCGCTCACTGCGTCTCAGGCTCCCCCGGCCTGGCTCCGCGCCCGGCGCAGCAGCGGGGAGGGAACCAGGAGGCGGCGGGCGGAAGAGCCCTCAGCCGCGGGCCGGGAACCGAGCTGGAGAGGGACCTCCAGGGGGCAGCACCGAGCCGCGCGCACGGCCTCTGCCCGCTAAGCCTGGGGTCCGGGGGCAGCCCGCAGGGAAGTCCTCTCCGCGGAATCCTGCAGGGCGCCCCTCCTCCAGCATGGCTGGATAAAGGTGGGGGAAGTGCCCGGCCTGCACAAGAGCCCTTAGCTCCCAGGGGGAACGGGACTGGGGACAGTGCTAGGGTAGTCAGGTTTCCACATCCGGTCCCCCAAAGGTGGGACCAGGGAACGGCGTTCTGGGTGGTGCACAGGGGACCCCCGATAGCCCCAACCCACTGACAGGTGGCGGAGAAGCAGACGTCTCACTGCTGCGCAGTGTCCCAAGAACCACGTAGCCTACATTTTCTAGCTTCAGTTTCCCCAGTGGTACCACTGGTCGCAGCCCAGGGTCAAGGCCCCGCCTCTGCCGGGCGGCCCCCGCCCCGGCCTGCCCTGCCGCTCCTCCCTCCGCTCCGGGCTCGCTCCCACGGTCCCCGCGGTGG